TTTTTGTTGTGTAACAAAAAAAATAAACTTTACATTTACTCACTGAGTGATACTGATATGACTTTACAGCAAGACAAACACACGGGATAGATGTTAATGGGTCAGTTAATCTGGGCCAAGTTACTCATGTAAACTGCTATACATTATAATTGAGTGCTCTGTGCTGCACACTAGCATTCAATACCTCTACGGTGATTAGCTGAGTCATAGTCATTAGCATTAGCAATAGAAATGGAGGTGATTAGCTGAGTCATAGTCATTAGCTTCGAAATGGATTTTTTTTAAATTGCTCATGATCTCAAAGCACTTCCTTCGTGGTCTACTAGTGGACCACAGCCTACATGTTGGGCACCCTGGTCTATAAGGTGAATGTAAGGAGGTTCTACAGTGGACTGCTGCAGCACCTGCGCCCAATCACTGCAGGGAGTGAACACAGCGCCCCCTGGGGGGGACTTGGAAAGCAAAAATAGTCAAATTTAGATTCTTAGTTTCTAGTATAACATTTTAATGCTAATATACGAGTTCCCTTATTTTATGTCATTTTCACTATTGTTTGATTTTAGGTGAGGTGAGAAAAAGAGTGTGTGTCATTTGACCAAATTGTTAGGCAGGAGTGTTGGACACTGTCCCAGATGTCCACACGTCAAAGGCAGAGTGAGGAGTTTGCTGTCAGAGCCCAAACCCGACATTATCTTTTTTTTTTTTTTTTTTTTTTTTTCCACAAATGGAGACACAACGCATTTTCAGACAGTCTGTGGCGAACGTTCAATCAAATGAAGGAACGGGAGCCTGAGCGAGAAAGGACCAATCACTGCCTGAGGGGACGGGATAATTACATCGATTTCTGAAGCTAATGGCTTTTAATATTTAACCACAAACACAAAAACAGAGCTGTTTTAAAGTTGCATGATGAACCACCGGGTCAACCAGCAAACAGTTCAACTCTGATGAGACAGAGTTGGACAGAGACGGTCATTAAAATCTGAGGTTTCATCAAATATTCAGTCCGAGCCACAAACAGCCCAAGTTTGTAAAGTGGGCCTCACTCCACCACTGGACCACAGCACATAGTTCTAGGACCGGGGGGGGGGGGGGGGGGGGGTATTGAAGTAGCTGTAGAATCAGATAAATATTCATAGATCCACAATCCAGACGTTTTCTTTTTGAAGACACGCTTATTTGTGCGTTCATGATGTTAGCTAAAGCTAAGTGTTAGCATTTATGTTGCAATTCTGATACAGCTTTAACACTGTAAGTGGCAATAAAACTAAAATCTTCTAAAACGCTGCCCAGGATGCATGAAACGACCTCACAGCATAAAAAAGATTTTTTTTTGTTTATTTTTTCTGTTTTAACCTCGGCCAAAATCTATTCTAAAAACCTTTCCTTCAATAAACTACTGAGTGAAAATGTGATTAATAAGGACTAACTAATTACAAAGACGTGAATTAATTAGATTCTCTCTTTTTCTTTTTTTTTTTTTTTAAATCACGTCCCAACACTAATTATGTTTATTACTTATTAGTTCAAAGCACAGGGACGAGCAACAGTGGAGCTGAGTCAGAAACCTGAGCCTGCGTGGAGTCACTTCTTTACTGAACTTTAACACGAATCTCAACCAGATCAAAATAGTTGTTCAGTTATATTTCAGGTCATGTAGTACACTTTTGTTGGGTGGGCGAGTGTGGGGGGGGGGGGGGGGGGGGGGGGGGTACACTGGATACTCCCTAGTATCCAGTGTACTTTCCCGCACAACAAAGCCAGAGTGACAGGAACACAGACTGGAGCGTCTGAAGAAAACCTCACGCACCACTTGCTCCCAGCAGCAGGTAAAAAAAAAAAAACCTGTCCGTCTGTGTGAGAGGTAATAACGTCGTTGAAGACAGCGTGATCGCACACGAGCCAAGCGAGCCAAGCGAGCGCACGGCGAGCGGCGTTCAAACTGATTTACTACCAACAGAAGCAAACATGAGATCTGATGTGTTACGAGAACTTCAGACGAGAAGAGAGGGATTTGGATCAGAGCAACAACAATTTCCATCCACAACGGCAACAGCAACATCCATTTGGACCGGTGATGCTCAACTGGTGGGTCGGGTCCCAAAAGTGGGCAGTGGACCGGTGATGCTCAACTGGTGGGTCGTGTCCCAAAAGTGGGCCGTTAAATACTTTTCAGTGATTCAATGATAATTTTGGGGGAAAAAAAGAAAGAAAATCAGCAGTCACACCGATTCATACTCCTTAACAGTAGGTGGTGCTAATGACCATGTAATGCGAGTCGACATCCAGTATTTCATGTCATAGAAGCAGACACTCAAACTCTAACAGCATGTGCTCATTGGGCATTGGTTAAACACAGATACGACACAAGTGTTCAGACATCGTTGATCAACATCCAGACATCGTGGTAGTATTTCGGCTTCTTTCAGCCATCGAGAGACGGGAGGGAAAACAAACCCCCCACAGAGATCCCGAACCGTTCACAGTCGAGCAGCAACTACTTTAACACGTCCACCAATGAACACGGCGGCTCCCAGACCTGCAGTACAGATCAAGACACATGCTGCTGTCGGCTTCATCAAGCCCACAGGAGCCGTCGCTTCAAAGTGGGAACACGTCTCCAGTGAAGGGAAACCAACTCGGAGAATATCTGCAGTGATTACAGCGTGATGAGTGCATCACCTGGGCTGCGGCTGCTGGGCCTGATGGGAAAAATCAATGAAGCAGTCCAGAGAGCAGCCCAGGTGCCCACACATGTAGACACTGTTAGACTCCCAGAAATGAACACGTAACTTCATAAAGCTGATACAAGGTCTGACAGAGGTGTTGATCCGCGGTCCAATCTCTGGAGATTACACAGATTATTGGTTCATTAGTGATGAAATCCAGCGGCTGACTTCCCTGATGAATTGTCCAACCTTTCAATTTAGGAAAGAAAAATATGAAAGACCAATGTAGACGTTGCCCCTTCAGCGGGCTTCATTCATACTTACCCTCTAAATGACAGTGACAGACACGTCATTTATGGGCAGTTCATCTTTTAAACTGCAACTCAATTCAGCCTGTCTGTCGTCACTGTCTTTAACACACACACACACACACACGCAGTGACACAACCTTCCAACAGCACTCAAGTTCAGCAACTCATTCCAGTATGATTTATCAAGTCCACCGCACTTCTTCATCCTCCAGGCCATTCCCTGACAGCTATTAATTACTCCAGGCATAAGAAAAACAGTAGTAATTCAAGGTGGTCTCCTGTAGGGGGCGGTAAAGAAAAGTGGGTCGCAGAATCGTCATGTTTATGGAGAAAGTCTTTTGAAGGGCGGGGCCATTACACATTCCTGGAAAAGTACTTTGCACCCAGGTATCCTTGAGGAGGGGTGGAGCTAACTACTACTAGCTACTAGCTACTAAAACCCACTTTAGTTCTGTTAAATTTATAGACAACGTGACACACGTTCCAAAAAAATGTACAGCCCAGATAACAATCGCAGAATTGTCCATGTATGGACCACTATGGGGGCCACAACCCCCCTGTTGAAGAACTCTGCAGTGAGATATCAGAAGAAGAACACTTTACACGGCAGGGTCATCTGTTCAAGACCAAACACAAACTGGTGACCTTCTTACTGTGGGGCAATAACAAGACACCGCCCCCTTGAGTTCAAAAACCTGGGTCTGAAATCACTACTTTCTATATCTGGGAGATACAAAGTGAACCATATAGTGGTTATATTAAAAACTGTTTTGCTAGGCTACCACAGGCTAAGGCTACATGTCTGCGATGTTCTGTCATGAATTCTGTCAACACAAGGGGGCCTCACAAAACAGAGAAACTGATTTTTGTCTGTTAGCTTTTGCTAGCTTGCAAAAACATTTTCATAGCATTAGTTTAATGTCCCCCCACCCCCCCGTTTGCGTGTAATTTGTGGTTTAATCCAAAGAATTAATGGTATAAACTGTGATTAAATGGCCATGTCGGTCCAAATGAACGTTAGTCAACGGGAAGTCTGAACAAAAACACAGTTTTGAGAATTCTAGCCTGAGCTGTCCAACTGTTGGTGAATTAATGACGATCATAAACAGATTACGGCCGAGGCTGGAATTACACTTTTATGTAGCCTTTTATGTAATTAAACTGTTGTAAATGTACAGTCTTATGTATAATATAAGGATGTAATGACTACTGTAGGACCATCAACAGTGGAGAAGGAGGTTCAAGTCCCAGAGTTGAAGGGTTACTGTAACACCGGGTTAAAGTCATGCTATTTACTGTTAGCTCTTCTCCGGTAGCATTAATCCTCGGTGTTGTTTTATAGCAGCTCTGGTCTATTTTCCACCTGTTCGTGGTTTTAAAGATACAAATTAAGGCTAATCTTTCGTTTTAAGAACTACTCACGGCCAAAGGCTGGGATTAAATATTACTGCGGTCCGTGACACGGAGTCCGAACTGGAACAGTTGGGGAGAATGTGAGCGTGTGCTCGGCCAACTGTTGTGTAGGGTCGATAACGAGCAGACTTCTCCGACACACAAGTCTCTGCTGGTCTTTATGTGAACACTTCGGAGGAGAGGAGGGGAGGGTGGTGGTGGTGGTGGAGGGTGGTGGTGTAAATGCGTCAGCACCGAAACTCGGGGAGGTTTTGACCGAGCGAACCCGAGCTCTGCTAATCCCCTGCCCCTCGGTTCCTCTCCGCTGTTCATGCGGGAATAAAGGAGCGTTACTGGGCTGCTTTACTGGAGCACCGGTAATAAAGCCCCATCTGCTGCACTGGCGCCCGGCTCTGTTCGCACACACGTACGTAAATTAAAAAAAAAAAAAAAAACGTGAGTGGAAATGTTAAAAATACAAGGACTTTTTAAGGTTACAAGTGAGCAGACGCACAAGTGGTGACACAAAAATAAAACGGGGACGAGCGCCTTCAGAGCCGCTACAGGGGGGGACCTGTTCTTCGGTCGCCCCTGCTAATCCTCCGTAACACTGCGGTTTCCACTTTACCTGATGCCGAAAGCCTTCGCTGAGCCGGATCCAGGAGCCGCTCCACTCCAATAAATCCCGTCTGACGAAATCCCGAGGTGATGTTTTCCCTTCAAGGCGAGAACCGCGGCTCTCCTTCGGTCATAAACAACCCCTCTCGTGCGGACACAAAGCGCAGCTCCGCTCCGATCACTTGTTCCATATAGTTGGCTCCTGTTATGCCGGTCTCCGCAGCGACTCCAGCGGACAACCCCGACAGTAACAGTCGGGCTGCTGCGGTGCTCCCTGTGGCCTGGAGAAGCACTTGAGTCGCGGAGATGTTTCGAGGCTTCGACGCGATAGCGGCAGCTTCACCCCCTCGCCGTCGTTAACAGCAGCGGCTCTGGAGGAGACAGGGAGACGAGACCGGGCATGCAGTCCTCGGGAGGCGGCTCAGGGACCGCCGCGGCCTCGGCTGCTGTAGCCCCGGAGACTGTCGGAGTTTGCGCTGCTGCTAAGAAGCCTTAAAATGCCCCGAGAGTGTGCACCAAAAGTGGGCACGGTGTCCGCGGAGACGGTCCTCTATCTCCACTGGTCCCTGCTTCAGTCTGAGTTTCTCGGCCTCAACACAGCGGCTCTTTTTTCCTGACCAGCAGCCAGCGTCCAATCACAGCGCTGCACTCAGAGAACGGGGCGGGGAGAGAAGAGTAGTGGGCTCTAGTGGACCGGAGTCTGAACCGGACTCAGTGTTTACTGGAGAACACAAATCTGATTTTTACGCACAATTTATACAAATAATAATAATTTAAAAAAAATAAATCACATTTTGATGAATTCGATTCGGTCGACTTCAAACAGAGGATCGATGAATCGATGCAGGAAAAAACCGAAACATTGAATAAAAAAAATATATTTTATGAGTCATTATATTGACATATATTGTAAACATACAGTGTTGTGTTGATTGTGAGTGTTTTTTTTTCCTCATCAGAACGCAGTTTTTTACCAGTTCCGGTTTGGAGCCTCTCCAAAAAAGCAGGCTCTTATTGGACAGACTTTAATGTGACTCACACACCGCGTCCACTCACACGCATCACTGGTCTCTCTCTCTCTGTAATTTATCAGGACTTTCCATCACAAACAGCATCCATATGTACGTGGACACTGTGTGATTAGAGATGGAGGAACTCCACAGTCAGCACTTCTGCTCCTCCATGTCCCAAGATTCCAGAGTGCTCTGGTAAGATAAAAAAAAAAACAAAAAAAAAAACAACCATCAGATGTTGCTGTTTATGTGAAAAAAAAAAGAACTCTGCTGCTGCTGCTGCTGCTGCTGCTACAACACCGTGTACTCCACACAGTACTGTTTATTTATGAAAAGTACAAAAGCAGAGTGTATTAGTCCAACACAGTGAGCTAACACCACTGCTCTCCTCCAACTCTGTAGGTGAACTCCCTCCAGCACAGACATCCAGGAAGCCTCTCTCTCTATCTCTCTCTCTCTCTCTCTCTCTCTCTCTCTCTGAATGCTGTCTTTGTCTCCCCCTCTCTCTCACCCACCCTCAGACTCCCACTCTCTCCATTCTCTGACATAGTTTTCTGCTATTTAATACCCCTGTCCCTGCAGGTATTTCTGCCTTTTGAGATTCTTAAGCACCCTCCATTAACCCCCGTGTCTTTACACAGACACACAAACACACACAGACACACAAACACACACACACACACACTGACTGATTGATGATGTCCTAACTTATCTCCTCCATCCTGGGACACACCTGGTTCTCCTAAACACAAAAGAAATGTAGTCCTCCGACGCAGCAACACCAACGCCAACGCCACCAACACCAGCTTGTTTACAAACAGAAGATTGTGACGACCACAGGTCGCAGGTCAACGGTCAGATTGACCTTATTGACCTCACCGTTAGTTTACAGGTTAGATCAGGCGTGGGCAAACTTTTTGATTCGCGGGCCACAGGTGGTCCTAAAATTGAACAGGGGGGCCGGGATAGATCACATGTAAAACTCATGCATAAAGGATAATTAGCTAAAATGCTTTTATCATTTTCTACGCCATCTATTGGGGAAACATGAGTATTGCAGGGAAAAGGCAGAAATGTTATGATATAAATTATATAATTTGGAAAAGTTTGGCGGTCCGGATTAAAAAGCTGAACGGGCCACATCTGGCCCCCGGGCCTTAGTTTGCCCATGCCTGGGTTAGATTATCAGGAGGTGACAATACTCCTAGCTACAAAAGGGGGGCGCAGCAAAGAAAAAAAGGGAAACAATTCTTTACTGAATCTTAGGCCAACTGCAGGCGGCAATGAGCGGTGCCTTACATCCAGAAGGTTGTGGGTTTGATTTCAGACCTGCTGCCTTGTAACTGGTGGTTCTGGTGAATCCAAACTAAAAGACTCCAAACATCTCACTGCCATTTACTGATGGAAACAGCAGTGAATCAATACTCTGTGTGTGTGGATCCTTAATGGAGCTGCAGCTTTGTTTTCAGCCGACGTTCACTCACAAACCTTCAGTTTAGTTAAGTTGGTCTGGTAACTTAGAAATATCACAACAAGCTAGTAGCTGTAAATGAATATTGATTCTCGGAAAGTTACCAACAAACACCGAATGTTTAGGGGGGAAAAAATGAGCAAACAGACTCTAAACTGGACTCGTAAACCAAAGTGCAACATTTAAACACACAGCCAAACATTAACGATGAAGCAACAGCTGAAAATCAACAACGTCATTTGAGGCCGAGGAACAAACACACGGATCGATTAGTCACTCATTAAGACAAACACGTTTGTGTTCGGCTCTGGCCTCCGGCCAAAGTGGAAAAAGGTTGGACGGCTGTTTCTCTGCATTCACTCTGAACAGGCTGACTAATCAAACACCGATCAATCTCCAGGGTTCACTTTCATCACCACCACCAAGGTTTTTACACCCGACTTGTTCTTATTTGCAAAACTTTACCCAAAATGTTTTAGCCTGGAAACAGGAAAATTAAATGCTGTGATAAAGGAAACACTCTCCTACCCCCCTCACCCCTCCCCAAAAAAGTATTAGCTTCTGGCTGGACTTTCTTTACAAACCCACAGACAATGGTAACAAAATATTTTTAATATAATTTTTTCACTATTCAATAATTATTACATTTGTTTAGCAGAAGAAAATTATTAACGAACATGCGCTAGCTAGCTACACGCTAGCTTTAGGAGCAGAGCATCTTAATCACAGACAAAGCTGCAGCTGTCGCACGGAGGTGCATTCAGGAAATATGGGAAACTGGAGAATCCAACAATTTAATTCAATATGGTTCAGGACATTTGTGTGTATTAAAAAATATATTATTATAAAATAATCTTTTTTTTTAGTTTTTTTTTTCTTATCTTTTCTCCAATTTTCTGAGGTCCCCCACTAGTGCCCCCTGGAGGCTCCACTTTGGAAACCACTGCATGAGTCAACTAACCAATGGTGGACTGTGTTACAATGATGCCACAATTAATGTCGGATCATTAGAAATTGCACACATGCCAAGTGTAAAGCTTCTGAGGAGAAGACTCAGCTCCGAGCCAACTCTGCTGAAGTAGCGCTGCTGCTAACGCGCTAATATTTTATTACTTATCAGTGTGAAGGATGTGACACACACAGGAAGGAACACAGAAATAATTCAGTAACAGACTGATGGTTTTAGTGGCCATCGGACGGGCCCCTCACGCTGACTGGAGGAGTTGGGGGGTGGGGTGGGGGGTAAGGAGAACAGCTGATTACATCATTTAGAAACAACATCAATTTCCTACAACACGACACCATATGAACTGGGAACGTACTAGAAAAGACAATAACACGGGGACTGGAGCCCACCACTGCCACCTGGCTGTAGTCAAAGAACGTTTCCGTAGTTTCCGTTAACAACTACCTGCATTTAAACGCAGCCAAAAAATGTTGAACGATGTTTTCCTGCCAGTTTCTTTCTTCTAACCTTCAGGTGATCCAAGCCCGGTCAATCCGTCATCTGAGGGATCCGACTATGAGGAATCCTCTGGAACTATTTTTTTTTTCAACTTTGGATCATAAAGAACAGACAAGCGGGGCGGGGGCATTTATGTGAAGTAATTGTACGTCTGATGATACTGTTTTGAAAGCGCTCCTTTAGTGAACGTGACGATCCAACAACCCACTGGTGTCATATCATCAGGAAACTAGACTTTGATTCACAACAATGGAAGAAAATTCTGGAAAAATTCAACAACTCTATATTTGGAGTCACGTGGGAATAAAACGACCTGAGTGACCGAGAACCGAGCCGTATCGTATCACATCCGTTGGCGATACGACTCAGGGACTAAACCAAACATCCCACTGTACGCAAACAGTGGGTAACAATGGGTCTCTATGCCCCCTGGTGGGGCCAGAACCACACTTTGGGAACCACCGACCTACAGCAGTCTGGCAAAATGACAGCAACAGGAGATGAGTTACTGTGACCTGGAAGAACACCACCAGATGATGTGTTCAAAGACACTGATCAGACCTGGTCCAGAACCAACGTCTGAAGCTTCCTTCAAGACTCGACTGCATCATATTCCAGGGAATCCAAGAGGATCATCCCTGGGATTAAAGACAGGTGGAGCAGACAGAAGAGGGATCAGATCCCCCACAGGATTTCAGGGCTTACAGAGACCTGAACCACTGCCAAACCGTGGTGCAGCTCAGAGACCGGCCCCCTGCTGGGGGCTTTGAAGGCCAGCGCAGCAGCTTTGAAGTAGCCAGGCACTACTGATCCCAGTGTGGGGCTTTAGAACCGATGGCCACAGACACACTGAATAAAAATCTCACCAAATATGGAATTAATCTGGGAAGTATCTGAGCTCCAGCGAGTAATTATTACCCAGAACCAACGTCTGAAGCTTCCTTCAGGACTCGACTGCATGTACAGTCAGACTGCATGGACATGTACTATCTGTGTGTACTTTTGTGTATAACTGTGTGTATATGTAATTAGCCAGTTTCACACAGAACGCAGCCTGGGAAAATATTTAGTCTAAAGATTTTCAGCAAGCCACTGGCATCGCTAACAAAACTACACAGACACCAATATATAAATATATATAAATCCCACCACCAAACAAAAATGTCACAAAAAGTTACTCAGTGAAACCTGGGCCTGTTTTGTTGAACACAACACTAATTTACTTGCAGGAATTGAATAAAGACAAACATGAAATCTTAATTAAAGTCTCTTTTTTTTTACATCCATCTTTTACATTCATTATCTCTCTCTCTCTCTCTCTCTCTCTCTCTCTCTCTCTCCCTCTCTCTCTCTCTTTATATATATATACATATATGAATATAAATATACACATACGCCGGCTCAGTGCTGCACTGACCACCGGTGCTAACGGTGGAGCAAAGGTTCATTAACAGGAGTCATAAATGTGGGTCAGTAGCACAGCTGGGCACCGTGTCAGCGTTTTCAGCCGCAGGGTTTTGGACTGCAGTACTTCTCTGGGCCACAGCCTCATTAGCCCACAACAATCTGCAGGATTAGGGATCACGTGAAGCCGGCGCGTGTCAAGCTCCGTTTCCTGACACTGTGAAAACATGCTGCGACTGGACCAGAGGTCTTTCTCTTATCTCTGCAGATGAGCGTCGGACTCATGTTTTAT